TGAGCAGGTTGTGCAGAGCACAGTCACTGCAGCTGAGGAGGCACCACCCACATCTCAGATTCTGTCGGTTTGTGTATTTCCCAGGACAACTTTCTGACAGGTGGCACCAGAGTGTCCTGCTTCAATAAAATCAACGTACTCCAATTTGCAGACAAAGTACCCTGAGAAAGGCTGCCTTTTGCTAACTCACAAAAAGGCACTGAGCAGAGACTACACCTGCTGAATTTAGTCTAGGAGCCAGGAAAGGCTGCTGAGGAGGAGGGTGTACCTGGGACAGGCAGTAAAGCAGAAGTTTAAAATTTTAGTACAAGTTCTACAGATATCCAACTTACTTCTTTTTACCAAGTTTTTGGTATAGTAAATAGTTCTTCAGAAGCTATTTTTTAAAAATATATATATTTTTATTGATTTCAGAGAGGAAGGGAGAGGGAGAGAGGTAGAAACATCAATGATGATAGAGAATCATTGATGGGCAGCCTCCTGCACGTCCCCTATTGGGGATCGAGCCCAAACCGGGGCATGTACCCTGACCGGGAATTGAACCGTGACCTCCTGGTTCATAGGTCGACACTCAACCACTGAGCCACACCAGCCGGACAGAAAACACATTCTTAAATTGCAGTTAGACCTGAAAAACTCCGCCCTTCATCCTCTTTGAAGTTAGTCAGCGAGCAAAGAAAGTGCTGCAAAGTGAGAGTAGCAAGAAGAGTTGCACACACATCTCAGGCTGTTACCACTTGTCCTCTGACAAACTCCTGGGTCTGGTTTCTAGGTGCATTTTGTCGTGGTAGGTTGTCTGGAAATCCTAGCATTTTCCAACCTGTTTTGGTAGGGAATGTGAGGAGGAGTCAAAGGGTAATTACTGCTTAATGGCCCAACAGAGGAGCCGGGAAGATCCGACTTCTCAGCTCCCTGAAGGTTAACCACTGCGTGGATAAGAACGAAAAGCTTTTCTTGAACTGGTTCGTCCTCTTTAGAAAATGTAACCATTGGCCACCTTTGGGGGCCTGGAGGCAACGCCGTCATAGGGAATTGTGAACTTTGAATTTCGTTTCTATGTGAGAAGGAGGCACAGCGGCGAGAGCCAGTGCTGTCGCCGAGGCAGACACTGTACTTACTGCTCAGCTAGTTCTGTTCTCAGGGTGTTACCCAATTCCTCCTGTGACAACGTCTGAGGTAAGCACTCTTTTTCTTTTCTTAAAACAATTATCTTTATTGTTGAAAGTATTACAGATCGTCCCCTTCTTCTCCCCCCATTAACTTCCTCCACACAAGCACCTCCCCACCAGGCCTTCACCACACTATTGTCTGTGCCCCTGGATTATGTATAGATGCATATAAAATCCTTCGGTTAATCTCTCCCCACCCACCCACCCCCGCCTTCCCTCTGAGGTTCCACAGTCTGTTCCTTGCTTCCATGTCTCTGGATCTACTTTCTTCATCAGTTTATTTTGTTCATCAGATTCCACCTATGAGCGAGATCACATGATACTTGTCTCTCTCTGACTGGGGGGAGCACTCTTTTTACTCCCATTTTACAGATTAGAAATCGAGGCGTGAACCGGTTTAAACACCTTGCCCAAGGTCACAGAGCTTTCCAGGGGCAGGACTGAGATTGGAGCCTCAGTGTGGCCCGAGAGCTTGTGCTCCTGGCCATTCTACTGCCCTGGCTTATTGGGGAAGCATCCAGCCGAAGCGCTAGATGAAAGTGAAAAAACTACCCATTAAGCTTTCTTAATTATGGAAACACGAACACAAGTCTAAAATTAACCGCACTGCTGGTATCACCAGCCTTTCCGCAGAACACGCGTTGGGACCTATTCCTCACTGACAAAGGCCTTTAGTGGGACAAGTAGGGGGAAAGCACAAGGTGCACAAGGATACGAGGGCTCCGACTCTCTCTCTCAAAAAGCAGGACCCAGGCCTGGCCACTCCGATCTGCCTGCTCACCAGGACTGCGTCCCGTCATCCAAGCCCACCGCCTGCTCGGGCCCGTTGTCTATCCCGGCTGAGTCCCGATGCGGGGACTGCTGTGAGCTCTGCCTTCAGAGGTCCCCGAGGGTCCTCAGCAGAACTGTTGTTTGTAGAGACGCTTCGTAGAAAAGCATCGTGTGATTGTCAGGTTTGGGAAACCTGGCCCATTGCCTCTGCCTTTGAAAGACTGACCCTGCGCCTGGACCCACCCCAGGCCCCGGAACCCCACACGGACGACACCTGCGTCACTGGAAGCCTAGTATTTCAGAAACGTGCTTGACTGGGGAATTCTTTGTCCCTTAGAACACCCTCGAAAGCACCGGCAAAAGTCTGCTTGTGAAACGCTGTCTCAGGGTGAGCATGTCAGTGGGGTCCAGCAGGACACCGACAGACAGAGGGCCAGAAAGGACAGAAATGAACATGGTTTGAGGCGGGAACGTGGAGAGAGTGCGAATGGAAATATCCATAACGCTGACCATAGTGCTTCTTCCATACTAGTCCTAATTAAAACAAACAAACAAAAAAACCCTGCACGAATCCAGTGTACAGAGGGAGCAGGAGCTCTGATGACTAAGACAGAGCAGCAGGTCCGACACATGCACACCGTGTGTGGTGAGACTGCACATGGGGTCAAGGAGCACAGAGGGCTGGAAGGAGCAGACCGGCCGGAGGAAGAGGGAAGGTACCCTTCGCTTGGACTTCAGAGCTAAACTGTCTAGAGTGTCCTAGATTTTAATTTCTTTTTAAAAATTTATAAAGCAGAGGAAGAAAAAGAGGCCAGAACAGAAGATGCAACCTCCATGCAACATTGCAACAGACATTATCCTTTTTTTCTTAATTCAAAGGGAGATTTGATTTCTCTGTTGAGGCTCCCAAGGAATAATAAGGGGGAAAAGTTCTAGCAAAGAAGTGTGGACACTCTTCTGCCTCATCTATAAACACAGCCATAAGATACGTCTGCGTGAAAAATACTTTCCCCTTTACTTCAAATTCTCTCGAGTTTCCATAATCTTTATAAAGAATCTCAGGGTGGTCGGGGGTTGTTCTGGGGAAAATTCTCCATCACAGTAGTCCCTATCCCACCCACGACACTTCACTGTAACCTAAATTCAGCTCAGGAGTGCTGTGGGGATATTACTTCTGAGAATATATTATTATTTGCAAAGATTGTAAAGCAGAAAATGATTTGTGCTTGCGGCCATCATTTACTTCTTTGAATCGTTTTCAATGGGCAGAGAGGGAAGTTGCTAAAAATGTTCTAAATGTGAACCATTAATTGGGGCTAAGATCACACACACCAAACGGTGAGAAGCATTAAGCAAAGCCCATCGGCCAAGTCAGTGGACTCGGAGTTTGAAGTGGGCAGGCAGGCCCCACAGGGGGCTTGGGGAGGACAGGGCAGTGAGGGAAAGGTGGGACCCCTTACACTTCCTGTGGTTAATGAGAGCAAGTCATGCTGCAATGAGCAGTTTCACGGCAGCTTCCCTGAGGATCTGCAATGAGGGCCCTACATTTCCAGCAACTTCTGAATTTCCACCTCAGGTCCCAGGAGGCCTGGCTATTTCATTCCTGGGAAGTCTCGCTCTACAATAAATCCAGCCATATCCCTCTTGCTTTCAGCTGGTTAGAATAGTTCTCTTTTATTTTGTTCCCAGAAAAATGATTTCCCAGGACTGGGTATCTGGCGATCAATGGAGAATTTCAGTACAATCTGGTGCCCTCAGCCCGGCCCCTGGTAACTATCATGCCTGGATACTTTTTTCCTTTAGCTATTTCATGGAAATTGAGGAGAAGGCAGAAAAAGAAACAAAACTAAAGATCGACTCTAAATATATAGTCATTATGAAGAATAATATAACATTTTCAGAACAATTGGGGAATTGGGGGCCTGAAGTCCCACGTTGACAATATAACTAGATCTTTTATGTTATTTCTCAGATTTTGAAAATAAAATCTAGGACATCCGTGTACATGGTATGTATACTAAATAGAAGATAAGACATACCCAAATTGCTCCCTTTATCAGGATGTTAAAAATGATAAAGAATTACATCAATTGTGAGCCTATTCAGAGTAGTAACAGCATGGCGATTTTAACGGAACAATTTCTAGAAATTAAAAAAGTGGTCTTTGCTAAATGTTCTATCATCATAGATCATAAAAGTATTTAAATATTTTGAATGATTAAGAAGGGGAAATTACTTGATAAACAAAATGAAATTCTCTATGAATACACATTATTTCAGTTCAAACGATGCATTCTTTAAGACTATTTTATACTTCCTAGGAGAAATACTAAAACTGGGATATGTAAGCACATGGTATGCTTGATCTAGTTGTTACCAGACAATAACCGTCCACTTGTTTCTATTTCAATGGTTTCCACATTCACAGAAATTTAGAAACATGCTGTTTCCATAGCAGCAAATAGAGAGTAAAAATAAAAAGATCTTATTGATTTAACGAGGTTTAGAGAATTTGTTCTCCTTTTCAGCAGTGATTTTTGCTCCTTTTTTAGTCTTTTAGCAACATCTCACATTCCCTTTTCCAAATGTACTTAGTAAATCACATAAATTTTAAAAGAAACAAATATTTAATTTTTAATGTAAAAGGGATGCTAACCTATGGAGTCGAGATTAGGCACCAAAGCATCTAAGTACATGCAATGCCAGTTTATCATATGAATAAAATATAAATTGTATCACAAGATGCTTTGAGATGATTCATTAATAATTAACAAGCACAGCATAACATTTGCTGTTACTGTGAATTTATTAAGACGCAGGCTGGGAATTGGGCTTTTATGCACAGTGGTCAAGCTACCAAATGCACGTTTATTCATGGTTCATGTGGCAGCATGACAGCGAATAACTGAAATGAGTAGTCTATTGTGTGACGTTAACATGCTAAGGAGACAGGAATAAACCTTCTTCCTTTCTGCCTGTGTTTTTTTAAGTGGTATGTTTTTCATCAACTTTCTGATCTCTTAAAATTTCCATTTGTTAAAACATAGGAAATTGGCTCACCTGTAACAGACATACAGCCTAAGGGAGCGATGAGTGTGATGGGGGCAAATCCGTAGGCCGCGAAGTTCCCTGTCTCTCCCAGGGCCATCAGGAGAGCCCCGCCCCACCACAGCAAGCTCCTGAAGAAGGGCCTTGCGTGCTCTTGGTGCGCCAACTGAAGATGAGAATATTTCTAGAAGTAAATCACAGAATGTAAATAAGAAGATATTTAAAACTTGTTTTAAAAATGTTGGCCCTATAAATTTGCATCGTGGCTTTAACATTTATCTGCCAGATCACTGTAGAGCAATGATTATGTTTCTGTGTTTGTGTCCAGCATATGAGCAGCAGAAGTGATTCACACTGACGTAGCATTTTAGAGTTCCCAGGGTCTTCCCACATATGAATGTTGCTTCATTCCCATAACAGCTCTGTAAAATAAGTATCAATACTATCAAAAGTTGAGGTGTATGGGAAGGAGTTAAGTGACTTTTTGGTCCTCCACCAAAACACTTTTTATTATTTTTTGTTCTCATTAAACTTAGTTTTAATGGGTCTCAAAATTCTGTGACAGATTTTGGGTCAAGCTAGTTTTTCCCATTAAAAAATACTGATTTTAAAAACAAATAATTTAAAAATTGCCACACATACAAAAAAAATCCAAATGGCCCATAACACATTCTCCTTTCCTTCTGAAGGTTTTACGAGGCATGAATTGTTCACCGGTCTTTTACTATTAAACCTAAACGGCCAATGGAGATAAACAGTTTCGAGACTGTCTGATTAAGAAGGGGGTGGCAGGTATGGGGATGACATGCATTTAGCTTCTGAGCTCTCTGGGCAGACTTGGTGGCTTTGCCAACTCCAGCTGCCTTCTTGTCCACTGCTTTGATGACACCGACAGCAACTGTCCGTCTCATGTCACGAACAGCAAAATGGCCCAAACGAGGATAGTTCGAGAAGCTCTCCACACACACGGGCTTGCCAGGAGCCATACTGACGATGGCAGCGTCACCAAATTTCAAAAACTTAGGGCCGTCTCCTAGCTTTTCCCCAGAATGACAATCAATCTTCTCCTTCAGCTCAGAAAATGGGCAAGCCATGTGAGCTGTGTGACCATCCAGGGCCAGGGCATGGACAGCACTGATCTGGCCTGGATGGTTCAGGATCATCACCTGAGCTGTGAAGCCAGCTGCTTCCACTGGTGGGTCATCTCTGTGCCACCAGCCACAGTGGCATCTTTGACAGACACGTTCTTGACACTGAAGCCCTCACTGTCTTCAGGAAGAGCTTCATTCTAAGCTTCATGGTGCATCGCAACAGACCTTGCTCCAGTTGTAACACTGCCTGGAGCACAGGTGGCCATGATGCTGGATTTGAGAACACCAGTCTCCACTCGGCCCCCGGGGACAGTACCAATACCACCAATTTTGTAGACATCCTGCAGGGGCAGACTCCAGGGCTTGTCAGTTGGGCCAGTTGGTGGCAGGATCCAATCCGGAGCTTCACGCAGCGTGGTTCCACTGGCATAGCCAGCTTTACGGGTGACCTTCCATCCCTTGAATCAAGGCATGTTATGTTAGCACTTGGCTCCAGCATGTTGTCACCATTCCGACCAGAAATTGGCACAAATGCTACTGTGTCAGGGTTGTAGCCAATTCTCTTAATGTAGGTGCCAATTTCTTTAATAATTTTCTCATATCTCTTCTGGCTACAGGGCGGCTTAGTGGAATCCTTTTTGTTAACATCAACAATTAGTTGGTTCACACCCAAGAGAATATGCTCAGAGGTCTGCCCGTTCTTGGAGATGCCTGCTTCAAATTCACTTACACCAGGGGCAACAGTCAGGACAGTACAGTTAGCCTTAGATGTGCCTGTAATCATGTTTTTGATGAAGTCTCTGTGTGCCATAATACATACTATTCTCGAATTTCCACAGGGAGATATCAGTAGCGATACCATGTTCATGTTCCAGCTTTCAGCTTCTCCAAGACCCAGGCATACTTGAAGGAGCCCTTCCCCATCTCAACAGCCTCCTTCTCAAATTTTTGATGGTTCTTCTGTCAGTCCCATCACACCTGATCAGATGGCCAGCGGTGGTAGACTTGCCGCAATCTACATGTCCAATGACCATGATGTTGATATAAGTCTTTTCCTTTCCCATTTTGGTTTTGATTTAGTGGTGATTTTCATGACACCTGTGTTCTGGTGGTAAAGCCTTTGCTCCAAAACACTGATTTCAGAATATCGAAAAGTCCAGATGCCAAAATAAACATAATTGAAATGAAGTTAATAAATTAATAAAGAAAAACCTTTTAAAAAGAGATTCAAATTTATGAGTCAAAGTAGCTATCGCCATGAATACACCATGGTAGAATGCTTTGGGAGCAGAGGGTTAGGTTGGGAGAGTCTTACTTATATCTGGCTTGAGTATTTCTTTGTATTTTAAACATATAAATTCCTGAAAAACTGGCCATTGAATAAAGCCCTATTTCCTTATTGATTTTATGATAACTGAACTTCCTTATTGCAAAGTATGTACAATTCTAGATTACTTAAAATTTTTTTTAAAGAAAACAATAAAAGTACTAGAAGAAAACATGGAACATTAAAGAAAATCTTAGCTTATGCCAAGGCTATGAGTACCTTTTTAAATGGGGTACAAACTCATAAGCCACCTACACACCTTGCCTACGGTATATAATACTATCAAGAGGACCACAAAAACATTTATTTAATTTCTTTTAAAATCAGAAGAAGAGAAAACATGACTGTAATCCAGTTGGATTATATTTCTCTTTATGTTGGCAAGGTCATAAAATATAATTTTTATATTTTTAATGAAGGAAAAGCCCAAGAAGGCAAAAGTGTCCACGGCCCATTAAAATCGTCATGTGCTAGAAAAATTCAGAATTAGAAAAGTAAGCTCTTCTTACCTGAATATTTAGGGAAATGCTGATTACCAAGTTTCCTAAAACAGCCAGCAAAACTCCAAAAAGGTGAAACTGAAAAAGAAAATGTTTTATTTAAATGGTGCGCTAAATAGCACTTGTACAATATTTACTAAAAAACAAACACCCCAAACAGCAAAACATTTTAGGTTGATACATTCATTCATTTGTTCATTCAGCAAATATTTGCTTGGCATCCATTTGGGAGGGTTGTTTGAAACATGAATAATGACTTTATTAGGATTAGTAGCCCATCTTTACTTTCTCAGACTCCAAACAGTGAGCATCCCTTAGTCCAGGGGTCCTCAAACTACAGCCCGCGGGCCACATGCAAATACAAATATTGTATTTGTTCCCGTTTTGTTTTTTTACTTCAAAATAAGATACGTGCAGTGTGCATAGGAATTTGTTCATAGTTTTTTTTTAAACTATAGTCCGGCCCTCCAACGGTCTGAGGGACAGTGAACTGGCCCCCTGTTTAAAAAGTCTGAGGATCCCTGCCTTAGTCCTTTTATATTGTCATGTGTATCATCAGGCTCTATAAATAGATGGCGAACTCTGAGGAAAGAGAACCATGTCTTAGGCTTCTATTGGGTCTTTGATATCATCTACTCTACAAAATTAGGGGCTTGGACAAAACTTGCTTGGACATATGTATAGTGGTTTAAAACAAGAACTATATAGGTTAAAAAATTATTTCTTTCACATTGCCCAAGATGTTTACTATAGATAGTGCATCTATTATTTGATGACTTCAAAAGATGCATTAGCAGCTCCTCTCTAAATACAAAGGTAGAATATCTTCTAGCATGATAAATTAGCAATGATTTAAGGGATTTCCCCCCTCTTCTTCTATAGTGCATAACTTCCAGCTTGCTTCAAATTCCAAGGAGTTATTTGAATTTCAAATGAACGTTACAACCACAAGGAACCCTTTTCAGAATGCAAAATGTCTTTGAAGTGTTAGAAGTTTATATGAGCCGAAGTGAAATTCAGTATTAAAAAAAAAAAAGGAAGCAAAAAAGTTAAAAACCCATTGAATAGTTGATATACAATATCCCTAGTCTTTAATCAGTTAAGAATTTTCTTTTCCTAATAAAGGCAGTTGGCAATAATTTTGATCGCTATTCCTCATGGGGAACAATTGTATCATAAGACAATGTGCTATTTCCATGCTTTTGATTTCCAGTTAAATGCATTTGGCAGCAATCAGGAAAATAAAGACTCAGATGAAGTTTAGGATTGAATGAAAATCTCCCATAATTACAAACGTAAGATGATAAATAGAAATAACTTCAAAATTCCTTAAACAATTCACTGAGTAGTTTAAATGCCACCAGGGCAAGGGTTTAGAAATTGGTAGCAGCATTTGGCAATAATTTCTTGGATATGACACCAAAAGCACGGCAACAAAAGAAAAAAAAACAGATAAATTGGACTTCGTCAAGATTAAAATCTTTTATGCCTCAAAGGACACTCTTAACAGAATGAAGAGGCAACCCACCTACGTGAGAAAATACTGACAACTCACATATCTGATAAAGATTGATATCCAGAATATATAAAGAACTCCTATAACTCAACAACAAAATAAACACTCCAATTTAAAAATGGGCAAAGGGCCGAAACCGGTTTGGCTCAGTGGATAGAGCGTCGGCCTGCGGACTGAAGGGTCCCGGGTTCGATTCCGGTCAAGGGCATGTACCTGGGTTGCAGGCACATCTCCAGTAGGAGATGTGCAGGAGGCAGCTGGTCGATGTTTCTCTCTCATCGATGTTTCTGACTCTCTATCTCTCTCCCTTCCTCTCTGTGAAAAATCAATAAAATATATTTAAAATAAATAAAGAAAGAAAGAAAGAAAGAAAGAAAGAAAGAAAGAAAGAAAGAAAGAAAGAAAGAAAGAAAATAAAAATGGGCAAAGGAATTGAGCAGCTATTTTTCCTAAGACAATATACAAATGGCCCACCGGCACATAAAAAGATGCTCAACAATACTAATCATTAGAGAAATGCTGATCAAAACCACAATGAGCTATCACTTCACACCCATGAGGATGTCTAAAAAAAAAGGAAAATAATGAGTGTTGGGAAGGGTGTGGAGAAATTGGAACCCTGTGCTTTGCTGCTGGGGATGTAAAATGATACAGCTGCTGACCTCACACCATGTACAAAAATTAACTCAAAATTAACTAAAAATTAACTCAAAAGACCTAAATGTAAGAGCCCAAACTACAAAAATCTCAGGAGAAAACATAGGAGTAAATCTTCATGACTATGGACCTGGCCATGGAGTCTTACTGGTAAAACATCAGAAATATAAGCAACAAACGGGAAAATATTTGGACCTCATCAATATTGAAAACTATTTGATTTCAAAAACCACTATCAAGAAAGTGAAAAGACAACCCATAAAAGAGTAGAAAATATCTGTAAATCATATATCTAATAAGGGACTCGCATCTAGAACATATAAAGAACTCTTACAATTCAATACTAAAAAGACAACCCAAACAAAAGTGAGCAAAGGGTCTGAATAAACATTTCTCTAAAGAAGACAAACGCCTAATAAGCACATGAAAAGATGTTCGAGATCCTCAGCTATCAGAGAATGCAAATCAAGACCACAGTGATATACCAGCTCGTCACCGAGTAAGATGGCTAACATAAAAAGCCAGATAATAACTAGTGTTCGCGAGAACGTAGATAAAGCAGAGCCCCCTCACACTGCTGATGGAAACATAAAATGTAAAAGCACTCTGGAAACAGTCTGGCAGTTCCTCAAAAAGTTAAGTTTCCATTTGACTCAGCAATTCCACTCCTAGGTACATATCCCAGAGAAATGAAAACACATGTCCACACAAAAACCTGTACAACAAGCATTCATAGCGGCATTATTCATAATAGCCCCAAGTGGAAATGACTCAAGCGTCCATCACCTAACGAGCAAGCAAAATGTAGTGCATTCATACAATGAATATCGTTCAGCAACAGAACGGAAGGAAGCACGGATGTATGCTATGACCTAGGTAAGCCTTGAGAAGTTTATGCCAAGTGAAGGAAAGTCTAGTCGCAAAGAGCACATAGCCTATGATTCCATTTGTCTGGAAGGCCCAGAACAGGCACATCTATAGAGACAGAAAACAGATTTGTGGTTGCCTAGGGTTGGGAAGGATGGGAGGCGTGGGGTTTAAGCTAAAGGGTGGAGGGTTTCCTTCGGAGGTGATGAAAATGTTCTAAAATGACTGTGGTGATGGCTGCACAATATACTAAAACCAGTGAATTGGACACTTTAAACGAGGAATTGTAGGGGATGTGAATTATATTTTAAGAAAGTTGTTATAAAAAATAATTTTGAAAACACAAAACATTTACAGCTTTGTTTTTTGCCCTGAGAACTAAAATGCTACAAACGTACTAGTAGCTATCTGTACTTCAGTCTCTTCCTGGCTGCAGTGTGGAGGATGGACTGGCAGGGAGCAAGAACAGGGAGCAGGAAGACCAATTCCAGGAAGCAGGAGACCACTTCCGGAGTTCAGAGAAGAAGTAGGTAAGGGCAGTGAAGAGAGTTAATTACACCAGGGCCATGAAGTAACAATATTCACATTCATAGCAGGACAACCTGAAATACGCAATGCTTTTCAGATTACTGAATGGTTTGGACTATCCTTACCACTAATCTCCTTGCCCTTGTATGTAATTAAGTTGTCTGCAACACTAACCCAAGCTGAGTTAAAACTAAAATCCCATATGTGAAAAAATAGAAAAAATTTCAGTCAGGAACAGATTTAAAATATATATGTATATATATTTTTATTGATTTCAGAGAGGAATAGGGAGAGATAAAAAAAACATCAATTGATGAGAGAGAATCATTGACTGGCTGTCTGCTGCAGGCTCCCAGTGGGGATTGAGCCCGCAGCCCGAGCATGTGCCCTGACTAGGAATCGAACCATGTCCTCCTGATCTCCTGGTTCATAGGCCAACTGCTCAACCACTGAGCAACACTGGCCAGGCAAACAGATTTTTAATTTATCTTGCTTATTGTATGCTGCAAGGTTGTTGCCTTTCGTTTTTAATTATTTACTTATGTAAAGTAATTCATCTGTTCATCCATCTATGCATCCACCCACCCACCCATCCGTCTAGTCAAGGAATAGTTATTGAGTACCTACTACAACTATGAGTTCCAACTATGGGGATACGGCAGAGAACAAGTTTGACAGACGCTGCTCTCAAGCAGTTTACTTTCCTTGGAGACAGATCAGCAACAAATGAACAAGAAAATACATCGAGTAAAAACTGGAAGACGAGCATACAGTAATGTCATAGAGGGTGCAAGAAGGCGTCTGTGAAGACAGCATGTCGCTCAGATAGGAGCACCAGGAAGAAGCCACTACGGGAAGAGGAGGGGAGAGCATTCCCAGCACAGGGAACAGCTAGCCCCCTGTTCTGCCTGCAGACTCTGGAGTTCGTGCCATAAAACATTCCTCTGGAGATACTCAGGAGGCTGGAATCTAGCCCTTTCCTTTGAGATGCTCAACGCAGCATCCATCTATGAATTCCTATGACGGTGCCCGTGTGAAATAGTTTTCAAACCTTTTCATAGATGCAAGATTTTAATACTTCTGACAGTTGTGTCTTCCCACTTTGCAGTCAAGTGCTAAGGCATTTTTCTCCTTGATGTTGTTCTCTTTCTGTTGTTGTTTTTGTTGGTTGTTTTGTTGTTTTTTCATTGTCCTTCTTGTGGTTGGCTCCTTTATTTTAATTTTACTTAATTTATTGGGGTGACATTAGTGAATAAAATTGTGTCGGTTTTAGGTGCACCACTCTATAATACATCATCTGTATGTTGTATTATGTGTCCATCACCCCAAGTCAAGTCTCCTTCCATCACCATTTATTCCCCCCGTCTTCACCCTCTTCAACTTCCTTTCCCTTTGGTAATCACAATATGTACTGTTGTCTGTGCCTGAGTTAAACACACACATACCGCCCCCCCCCCCCACACACACACAAATCCATAAACACAGACAACAGTAAGGTTATTGCCTTTCT